AATGGCGCGATCTCGGCTCACCGCAACCTCCGCCTCCTGGGTTCAGGCAATTCTCCTGCCTCAGCCTCCTGAGTAGCTGGGATTACAGGCATGCACCACCATGCCCAGCTAATTTTTTGTATTTTTAGTAGAGACGGGGTTTCACCATGTTGACCAGGGGTCTCGATCTCTTGACCTCGTGATCCACCCACCTCGGCCTCCCAAAGTGCTGGGATTACAGGCTTGAGCCACCGTGCCCGGCTTGACTTTTTTTTTTTTTTAATGAAAGACCAGGGGAAAGCGCAAACGCAGTCCAGGGTTAAGTGACTCTCGTGCCTCAGCCTCCTGGGTACATGGTACTACAGGTGCACACAACCACGCCAGGCTAATTTTTATATTTTTTAGTAGAGACAGGGTTTCACCATGTTGGCCAGGCTGATCTTGAACTCCTGACCTCAGGTGATCTGCCTGCTTCTGCCTCCCATAGTGGTGGGATTACAAGCGTGAGCCACTGCGCCCGGCCCCAATAAAATTTTATTTACAGAAGGCCAGGCACGGTGGCTCATGCCTGTAATCCCAGCACTTTGGGAGGCTGAGACGGGTGGATTACCTGAGGTCAGGAGTTCAAGACCAGTCTGACCAACATGGTGAAACCCCGTCTCAAAAAAGAAGAAGAAAAAAAAAATTAATAAAACAAATCAAAAAATTAAAAAAAAATTTTATTTACAGAAACAGGTGGCTGGCCTGCAGGCTGAGGTTCGTTCAACCCTCATCTTTTGGAAAGCATTGGAATCTCATCTTCACCTCTCGCTGGCTGTGTGGCTGGAGCATGAGGCCTAACCTCTCAGAGCTCCTTCCTTGTTCATATCAATGGGGGCTGGGACTGTTGCCAGTGATACCCAGAATTGCTTTCAGGGTGACAGCAGACAGGGCTTTTGTTTCGTTTGGCTTTTTCGAGACAGGGTCTCGCTCTGTCACCCAGGCTGGAATTCAATGGCACAGTCTCGGCTTACTGCAGCCTCCGCCTTCCAGGTTCAAGCAATTCTCATACCTCAGCCGCACCCCCCCCCCCCCCGAGTACCTGAGATTATAGTCACCTGCCGCCACACCTAGCTAATTTTTGTATTTTTACTTAAGATGTGGTTTTACCATGTTGGCTAGGCTGGTCTAGAACTAGCCTCCGGTGATCCACCCGCCTCAGCCTCCCAAAGTGCTGGGATGGGATTACAGGCCTGAGCCACCATGCCCAGCCCTGGCCACGGCTCTTGTCTTGCAGGGTCATAAGGAATGAATTGAGAATCTGTGTGTGCTGTGTAAGCCATAAATACAAAGTAATTGTGATCGTTAGCCCTGTGGTTAGTTCTTAGTACAATTATGTGCTTAATCAGGTCTCAGTGATTTTTGTTTAACTAGGATGCATCCTCAGAGCAACTCCAGTTCACTGAGCATTTAGCACGTTCAGCCGTCTTCTTAGTGAGGTGGCAACTTGGGAAATCCTTCCCTGTGCCCTTTCATTTCCCCAAGCCCCTACTCTCTACTCCCACCCACCCCTTTGACCAAAAAGGAAACCAGGGCTCAGAGATGTCAGGCCACACGTGCAGCAAGCTGGCTAACTGAGTCTCTGTTCTCTCCCTGCATACAGGTGCTCACTCCCACATCCGGGGGCTGGGGCTGGACGATGCCTTGGAGCCTCGGCAGGTACAGCAGAGGAGGCTGGGGTGTGAGGGCCTCTCCACAAAGGTCTTGGGTAGTGGGTACCCAGGGCCCTGGGGAATGTGGGGACTGTGTTACGGTCTTCCAGACCTTTGGCTGCATATCCATAAACTTCAGCCACACGTGGGTTTTCTTGGTACTAAAGAATTGGATAGGCTGGGCACTGTGGCTTATGCCTGTAATCCCAGCACTTTGGGAGGCCGAGGCAGGCGGTTCACCTGAGGTCAGAGTTCGAGACCAGCCTGGCCAACATGGAGAAACCCCATCTTTACTAAAAATACAAAAATTAGCCAGATGTGGTGGTGCATGCCTGTAATCCCAACTACTCGGGAGGCTGAGGCAGGAGAATCACTTGAACCTGGGAGGTGGAGGCTGCAGTGAGCCGAGATCGTGCCACTGTACTCCAGCCTGGGTGACAGAACGAGACTCCATCTCAAAGAAAAAAAATAAAGAATTGGGGTTGGATAGCCATTGTTTTGCCACCTTAAAAACAATTAGGCTTCGTGCAGTGGTCACACTTGTGATCCCAACACTTTGGGAGGCTGAGGCGGGAAGATTGCTTGAGCCTAGGAGTTTGAGGCCAGCCTGGGCAACATGGTGAGACCCCGTCTCTATAAAAAATTTTAAAAATTAGCTGGACATGGTGGCGCACACTTGTGGTCCCAGCTACTCAGGAGGCTGAAGTCAGAGGATCTTTTGATCCCTAGAGGTTGAGGCTGCAGTGAGCCGTGATTGTACAATCGTACCACTGTACTTCAGCCTGGACAACAGAGTGAGAGAGAGTCTGTAAAAAAAAAAAAAAAAAAAACAGAGAAAGCTGTTTTGGCTTTTCCTGGAAGTCCCAGCTAGTAATGACTGCTTCCATCTCACTAGCCAAGATGTGGTAGAAACGGTGTGTAGCCCAGCAGGAAGTCACCTCATGTGCTGCGTCCCACCCACAGGCTTCCCAGGGCATGGTGGGTCAGCTGGCGGCACGGCGGGCAGCAGGCGTGGTGCTGGAGATGATCCGGGAAGGGAAGATTGCTGGGCGGGCAGTCCTTATTGCTGGCCAGCCGGGCACAGGAAAGACAGCCATCGCTATGGGTAAGAAACCTCCCAGGGCCAGAACTCTCGTGGTCTCTGCTTGATAACCTCTCCTGTGTAAGTCAGGGTCAGGATCACCCGCATTTAACAGATGACCCGAAATGGCAGTGGCTTAAACACTCAGGCTTCGTTCTCTTCCATGGAAGAATCTAGAGGTAGGCCATTTGGAGCTTACTAAGCAGTCCCAGGAAGTCTTCCATCTTCCTGCCTCATCATCCTCTGCACTTGGTTCCAGTGTCAAGAGGATGTTGTGTTCCAAGAGGGCTGCCTAAGCTCCAGCCTTCCCACCATAATCCAGGCAGCAGGAAGAAAGAGGAATTGCCATGAGGGTAAACTCTCTCGAGTCGGCTTCCTTTAACCAGTCACCTTGGAAATCTTCCATGCTTCTGTTTGTATCTCATTGACTAGAACCGAATCTCATGATCACGCTTTGCTTCAAGGGAGGCTGGGACATTTCATTTCTTTTTGATTTCATAATTTGAACCATTTTTGCCTTAAGAAAATGAGGATTCTTCTGTTGGACAAGAGGTTGTTGTAAAAATTTAAAAATTAGGCTGGGTGTGGTGGCTCATGCCTCTAACCCCAGCACTTTGGGAGGCTGAGGCAGGTGGATCACCTGAGGTCAAGAGTTCGAGACAAACCTGGCTCACATGGCAAAACCTTATCTCTACTGAAAATACAAAAATTAGCCTGGTGTGGTGGCAGGCGCCTGTAATCCCAGCTACTTGGGAGGCTGAGGTGGGAGAATCGCTTGAATCCAGGAGGTGAAGGTTGCAGTGAGCGGAGATCACACCACTGCAC